GGAGAGGCTTGGTCAACAGAGAGACGTATACGACTTTAATCCAATTGTCTTGAGCCTTAATAAAAGGAGCGGCTAATAACGTAATGACTGTGGTGCTGCCTGCCATGGCGACTCCCGCTGATCCCCGCGCACTGGCGGCGGGAGGTGGCTCGGCTGGAGCTGCTGGAGGAGCCCGGAGCTCTCCTCGGTGGCTGGCGGTGCCCGGAGGGGCCGGGGCCGGGGCCCGGCACCTGAATTCGCGGTTCCCGCCGAAAGGGCGAGCAGGGAGGGTGGCTTAGCTGGGTCTCCAGGCTCCCTTCACGTCGGCTTCAGAGCCGATAACCTCCTGAAGTGGACAGAACAGTGTGCATCTATTTGAGTCACTGTTTCAGAGTTTGGAAAGACAATTCTGGGTCAATTTAGTTTTTGTTTGTGACTTTTAGGTTTTTTTTTTCCCCCATCTATAATCAACATAATTAAGCACTATTTATAAGCAGTTTGTTTATAAACAAGTTATACTGGTCTTTTTAAAAGAGAAGTTTTGACAAATAGAGACCAAAGAAGGCAAAAAGATGCTTTCTTCCCCATGGAAATAGTCACTGATCTTTACTTACACATGTGAACATGCGTATGGCAATATGTAGCCTGAATCCTTTTGTGAGATACACACTAAAATAGTAATTTTATTGTATATGTGAAGAATACAGTTTTTCCTCTGTCATTAACTTGAAAACATGGGGAGGCAGAAAGTCTGCCTGCCTCACAGTTCAAATGAGAAGTAGAAATATTCTTAGAGGTGGTTTAAATGAACTGCCTGCCATTAACAGAAATAAGCTCTTAGAGTATGTACATGGTTTTGCTCACTTATGCAGAGCTCTGTGACGGAACAAAACATTTCTTGTCTCCAGCGATTCTAAACACAGTCTGAAGTGGTATTGTATTCATCTGAGTCAGTAGATGGGCAGCTCCAAGTGACTATGTGATGAGTGCATAATAAGTGCACAGGATTGACAGCTGAAATGCTGTTTCACTGGTAGCTTTCCCCAGGAGTTTTCCATTCAAACTGAGGAATCCTTTCACTACTGCTGTTCAGCACCTTGTAGCAAGACGTCTCACCAAACATGGATTTTCAAGCATTCTTGAGTTTTGATGTATGTTCCTGCTGGTTCCTACCTCTCACATGGGAGTTGCCACTCACTGAATCTCCTGCTGGCTCTAGGAATCCTGTGCTTCAAGTGCAGTTTATGTTGCATGAGCAGCAGCTGTGCTATGGTGGGCTGCTTTTCCTCGTGTCCCCCCTAGATGCTGCTGTAATAGAGTCGTCTTCCAGCCATCCTGATGGCCTGGAAGCAAACACTTGCAATAATAGATTTATTGTAAGATCTTGTGAAAATAAAGAAGAGATTGGGTCATGGAAGGGAAAGATAAAATGTACCTAGTGCTATTTCAGGCACCTCAGAAGACTAAATCGTTGAGGTTCCTCTCCTTTGTTGGCTACTCGTTCCGCTTACTTGTTGAAACATGCATATGTCTGTATGTTTTCAACTCTAAATAGCCTGCCTCTCACATCTGGTTCACAGCTGGTCTTTACACACATGCATACTTAGCCTCTCATTTATTGTGCAAGACATTGGTTTTTCTCTTCCTCTGTCACTGGGATCATTGGACAGGAGGAGCATAGGAAATAATGGAATATATCTTTGAAATATTGCATCTTGTGTTTAGTGTGGGATGTTCACATTTGACTTCTTTCCATTGATTCCCTCCCTGCCAAAAAATAAAAAAAAAAGATTTTATTTCCTCCCTCTTGGCCATCTGGGGCTGTCTGGTCTTCAGTTCTCCAGGGAGAAAAATTGTGTCTTTGTGAGTCAGCTGGCTGAAGGTGAAAACTTCATTTCTTTTTCCTCACCCATTGTGTGGTAGCAATGTGATTCAGGTTCTGTGAGAGGGTTGGCAGCAGTTTAAAAAGCAAATCAGTGTCAATTCAAGCTAAGGGTAATGTTTGTGTTTCCACTAGCTAGGAGTTGCTCTATCCATGAGGCAAGGGAGGGATGTTGTGCTTCTATTCATTTGTTTTGTGGTGGTTGAGTGAATAATTGGATACTTAGAATTTTAAGGGTAGGAATAAGCACTGCTGGAGCAAGCTCTAAGGAGAGAGGAGTAAAAAGGGAAGAAGGAATAGAGAGGAGTGAGAGAGTGCGACAGAGTAGAATCTGAAAAAGTATTAAGGTAAAATAGAGATGGTAAAGAAATAGTAAATTGTTGAAAAATTGAGGAAGGTGAGATTGGGTAGTAAGAAGATAATAATAGAGAATGATTTTAATGAACTAGACAAGCTAGAAAAACAATCTGAAAAGAAATCGGAAGCAGGGACAATGTGAGATGAAAATAAACAGCAATTATTAATAGCAGTTGGCTCTTTGATTTGGATTACAGGAGAGAACATATATACACACAGCAGCCTTATGCATCTAGGTTTTAAATCAACCCACTCTTCCTGAGCCAAAATGATTTTCCATTAAAATAAACCAGCAGTACTAGTAGGATTGAAAAAAATGACATTAAGTTCCAGATATTTCTACTGTTATTATGCACAGATTGGCTTGATATTGAAGTATATAATGATGCTGATTTGAGCTAAAATAACTCTGATTTGCTATGGTTGAAAAAGGTTTTGGGCCTCTGGAAGCAAATCTTGGAGCTATTCATCAGAAGGGAGGTCCTGAAAAATAGGGTGTGCAGGAGGAGCAAAGCACATGAGGTTCTGTCTTTCTGCCATCTGTTGCAACTGGGGCTAAAGTATGGTAGCAGAAACATCCTACGTTTTCCTTCTCCTCTTAACAACGGATGATGAAAATGAAAGAGCGAATGCTTGAGCTGGTGTGGGTGTTTGCAGGAGGTAAAATGTAGGCTGGAATAGAGAGTGGTGTCCTGCTTGCTTTAGGATTTTTTAAGATGCCAGATTTTTAAGCATTGTGCCAATTCTGGATTTTGTGGTTACACATGGGCTCAAAAACTTCGTCAGTGTTGACAAAACCATTGTTGTCACTGTTCAGTTTTGCAAATGGAAAATTGCATCAAGTGTCCTGTGCAGATTGGCTTAGCTTCACATATGCATGTCTAATGTCAAAAAGTCTTGATAATTTTTTCTTTTTTAGTAAACAAAGTTTCATCAGTAGTTAGGAGTGGGGTGGAAAGACATCACCTTCAGGTGACAGAACTACTTTGTTTACAAAATACTTTGCCTGCCATAAAGCTAGACTGTTCTCAGTGACAAATTCTCTTTGTTGGACAGTTATGTGGTTTTATGCTAGTTAAAGCATTTTGTTATTTAGCCAAGTGTTTCTTTTCATTTCGTCTGTCATAAAATCCTTACTGGTAGGGATAGGGCATGACTGAGGGGTGAATGTTGCTGTGCTTGGAGAACGCCGTCAACGTTCTAGAAGGGAGTGAGGTAAGGTATAGATGTGCCTTGCTTTTTGGAAAGTGGATTCTCAATTGGCTGGTAAAGTTAGTATGTGAATGGAAATTCATGGCTTCAGACTATATGCTTGCATCCCATTGAACTTTGGTTTTAGTTTTTCTTTCTTACAACTATGATACTACACTTTGGCATCACTTTTTGAAAGCTTTCTTCTATAGGATTTTACTCAAAGAATTGTCATTGGCAGGGTTTTCTATACAAGTTTCCATGTTGCCCTGGTGAGCAGTCAGTGTCAGTTAAAGCTGGCTATCATTGCTTGTTCTGTTTGACTTGTCTGCTACTATTTCATAAATATTGTTTGCTTTTTTCCTATTTACTCACTATGTAGGTATTTAGGAACAGCTTGTCAGCAGTTTATACTGTGAGTTGTTGACGTTGCAAAATAGAAGCAAGAAATTGTCTTGCCTCACCTGTGAGGTTTAATTGCATCTTCATTTGCTTCCAAAAAACCTTCCCAAATATCCCATTGTATTCTGCACTTAGAATACTGTCATTTTTATGTATTACTTTTTACTGCTGTCTTGATTACTGTATGTTAGAACCCAAAGACATTTTTTTTGGCTGAAAGGAGGGAGTTTGTAACACCAGCCTTCGATAGTGTATTGCTATTCAGAACAGCATGTAAACATTTGCTTTGAAGTATTTAAGACAAATGTGTGAACCTGCCAAACTGGGTCTAAGGGAAAGTCTGTTTTGAAAGTTGGTGGCCTGGTTGTTCATATCTCTCTTCATAGAGATATGAAGGAGCAAGGCCTTCTTGGTATCATGCTATCCTCTGATCTCTAGATTAATGGCTGAAATTTTATGAATGGAGCACGATCTTTTTTTAAAAATGGTCACTGATCACTTATTTATTTTTACAGCTACAATTCTACTGAACCATTATTTAAGTTTAGTTATTTTTTACATAGATTGTACTCAACATATCTTTACAGGCAAAACTGTCATGCAGAATCTTTTATAGCAGCCATGACAGAGAACAACTTTAGGATTGAAGGGAGTATTTGCATTGTAGAGGTCCTTGAATATGCATTGACATAACTTCTCTGTTTACTGCTGTGGAGAATTTTGAACTGTTGCTCTTAGTATTTTGTGGATAAATGCTTGTTCTATGAATAAATAGAGGCCTCTAGTCTGGTAATCCAACACCTTTCTCAAGCTCTAACATTTATTAGAAAAAAATGAAAAAGGAGTTAGTCAATGATTTTCTGCTGTAAATTCCTTTGCATTCAAGAGCACAGTAGAGGAAAACTGTTTAAGAGAACTTTGCCATGCTGTTGATTACTTGCTGCTCTTATTGGTTGGCTGTTAATTGAATGTATGTTGTTTATTTTTACTAACACCCCTAGAAGCCCTCAGGGAATATTGAGTGTCACAGAGTGATAAAGCTAATATTTACTGAGCCCTTAAAAGAAGAAGGGAGTGGTTGCTTATTTAATGGGGACCTAAATTACTGTGTTGGAGAATGTAGAATACTGTGATATAGTCAGATGATATTTTAATCTGTACTCTGGGTGCTGGTTACTTTTCCGAAAAGGAAAGTTTCAAGGAGAAAACTGTATGGTGTGTTCCTGCAATGTTCTTATTCTTATCTACATCTTTAAGGTCATGACAGATTAAAAATAATGTCTTTGTAATCTTGGCATGCTAACTATTGTGATTAAAAGAATCAGTTCTACTGACTTTTTTAGTACTGCAGTCTAAATCTGTATTGAATTTTATTTTGTGCATGTTGTTAGTAATGCTGTAGTATTATGCTACCCTACTGTACTACTACACTACTGTTGTTAGTATTATAGCGGTAGGCAGAAGAATCTTCTCACGATTCATCCTCTGTGGTCTTCACCCTTTCCACAGTGATATAAATATATAAGCATACTCATGCTATTTCTAGTTTACTTGCTTTTTTCCCCAATTTATTTATTTGTTTTTAATCCTCTCGGGCTTGAGTTCAGTGAAGTAAATGAAAATGTTGCCATAGTCTTTAATTGATTTTTTGGATTACTTCCTAAACATATCTTCTGATATCAAAATATCATTTATTATACATGACAGTGATTGGAATATAAATGTGATATAGAAACAAGAAAACAGTAAATCCTGTGTTATTTACTTCACAGGTAATCTGTCTTCTATTAATAGAACTTGCCTATTCTCATTTTTCAGAACTACTGGCATTATTTTGCTATTGCGTTTTTAACTAAATGTGCTCTAACAGCAATTTCTAATAACAATTGATGTGACTCATCTCTTCAAGTCTCGATGAATGGAAAGCTGGCAAAAAATAATCCTTCTTGCCCATTTTGAGTTTTCTCAGACAGTGTAAGGGTTTTGTGAGGCTGTTAGGCTTTTTTTTTTCCCTATATATTTAAGTATATATTTAGATTATTTTTTTTCTGCAATTACTTTGTTTTTATATTTTCATATGTCTTGTCAACATGAGATTTTTAAGTGTACACCACAAATTTGATGTAGGATGTATTTTATCTATGTGACATTCATTTTTAATAGAGTATTTAATTTTTTCAACAATACAAACTTTTGTGTTCTTTATAATTGCATTTCTCTTTTCTCCTTTCCTTTTTTTTTAACCTTAGATTATGGGTCTGTCTTTCTTTCTTTCTTTCCTTCTTTCACTTCCCCCTTTTTTTTGCCTTGCATGGAGAACTTATATTACTAGTGAAAGAATATAAATGCCTTGCTTCATTACTTCATGTAGGTTAGCTGTGTATCCTTTTAGCAGGATGTTGTAAAAGCAGATTCTTTTATTAGGTCAACACTGTATTGGTCTACTTTCATAAATCCACACAATATAAATTGAAGAAATAAGTTTCCATAGTTCTGCTTAAAGGAATGGTTCTGAAAATGTGCATTCTTAACATGAGTTTAGTTTTTTCTGTGTACAAGAAAGTACTCTTCCTATCTTAGACTCCATGTAATCCCTGATCCTGAAACTTTGATGTAGAGTGGCAGGGGGCCTGCCACACTTTGGAGCCCCCGTGGGACACTGCGCTGTGCAGATCTCTGTTCCCTCCCAGAAAGTTGGTCTGGGATCATGGTGTTCTGTGTCGGGGAACAACCCTTGTTTTGGAAATGAACGCTTTTCAAAAATAATAAGCTCTTCAGGTATGGATAGTGTCACTTAGATTTGTGTCAGTTTGAGTGTACTAATGATACCTCATTCAAATCTGTGTAATGTTTTGTAATATGAATATCACAGTATCTTTGAAATACAAAGGAGATATGCGCCTTCCTTCTTGTTGCATAAATTAGTAGCCTTTGCAACCTCATCTTATTATGTTGAAGTTGGCTGGAATGCTCGTCAATCCAAATCCATGAACACTGTTAGCATGCATTGATTTAAAAAGTGCTGTACTGTATTTCATACTTCTGGTTTAACATCAAGTTTTTCACTGTTTAAAACATCAACTTAATTTGATATTGTTCTGTTTTAGACATCCTTAGCCACACGTTTTGCCCAAGAGACATTTGGAAAACAGTACAAACAAACCATAGGACTGGATTTCTTCTTGAAAAGGATAATATTGCCAGGTAAGAGACTAAAAACTAACACTGATAGGCTGGGCAGCAGTGAGACTTGCAGAAACAGATTCTTCAAAGTAATGTATTCTAAATAAGCTTAGTACAGTGCTTTTTATGGCAAAGTAAATTAGGTTATTCAGAGAAAGTTTTGTTAGTACGTTCTTCCCAGGTGACAAAGGGTTATGCATTTGCAACTTATATCTTTAAGTAAAACACAGAGCTCAAATAAAAGGAATGCTGTCTATATTCATGATTTTTATTATCTCTACTTGAGTGTACTCGCTGACCATGTGGATAGTGTAACATGCAACAATGAAATGGAACTTTAAATATAGTAATTGAAAAAGTATATGTGTTTTGAAAGAAATAGGATTTTTTTTTTAAATGAAATACACAACTTGTATTTGAGTTGTGTGAGAGAAGCATAATGCAGCTATGGAATCGCAGTGCTCTAATATGTGAATGCTGTTTTATGCAAGGCAGCATGAAATTGCTGGCATTTAATAGACCACTAAAATTTAGGGTCCCTCGGCACTCATAAAAATACAGTTTGAGCATTCAAGATGTTTCACTTCACGACGGCAAAGAAACTATTTAGATGCCAGTTGCAGCACACTGCGTGGAAAATGCAAAGAAATAATTAAAAAAGAATAGTTGCTGGTAGAAGTTTGTCTCCGAACAATTGGGGGTTTGAAATAAGTCTTTTCATTGATTTGTGGTTGCTCCATCTCTAAGTATGAAAGTATTTCATTAAATTAATTTTCTTCTGGTTTCAGAAATCAGAAGAAGTTAGAAAAAGTACGTGTGATTATTAAAAGTTGTAGTGAGATTTGATAAAGTTGATGCAAGTTCTGTAGTTCTGTCTTTTTTCCTTGTGGAGGGCAGGGAGGGAAGCAAACCCAGAAAAGAAGCATTTTAGCTATAACCTGAACTTGTAAGAAAGTATATACACTTCTTGAACTTATTTTGTTAAAATTATATTGCCAATAATTTCTTGATTATGTTTATATATTTTTTTAAGTGAAACAGAATAATCTTTTCAGACTATTCCTGCATTCACTATTTTGGTTTGTCCATTTTGCTGTACTTTTTTAGTATCTGGTGAGTGATAAAGTACCAAATTTCAGGGCTTATTTCTCCATAAAGTCAACAGAATAATTTTTTTATTGTCCTGCTCATGCCTCTAAAAATACCAGTGTGCATAATAGTTAACAGCAGTACTTGCAAGTGGAATGTGTACACAAATCATGCAGTGTGCATGCTGAGAACTTGTATTTCGCAAGTTTTTTTCAGCTGTTAAGCATACAGAAGCTATTAGTACATTGCTGGGGTTCTAAATATTCTTGTTGAGTAAAAAAATTGGAAAATTATCAACTATTGATTCATTCATGTTCTACTTTCTTCTAGTTTATGTTGTAATAAAATGATAATGTAGATGAAAATAGCACCAAACAGCAACAAAGTGTATACATCTATTTTTGTCATTTATCGTTAACGAAATAGTAACGTTTGTGGAATGTATTAATATTCAGGAAGAAGCATTTTTCTGTAGATTGTCATTCTGGTTTTGCCTATGCCTATAGATGTGTTTAGGTATGTATGGATTTCTGTGTTTTATAGGTAAGCTGAACTGGTGGTGGGGAGTGAGAGGGAAGGAAGAGAAGAGGGAGGGAGGTAAAATTTCTAAATATTGGAATGGGAAGCATTACTTAAGTAAGCGGATTTTTCTAATTTCTTGATTAGTTCTGGGTTTGCAGAGCTGCTATGTTTACTTGAAAGGTTAATTCATACCGCTGCACAGAAATTATAATGTGTATATCAGTAGGAAAAAAAGCCTCAATTTCTCTTATTTAGCAGGAGGATTGATGAATAACTATGCTTCAGTATTTGATTTTTTTTTTCTTCTTTAAACATAAGCAAAGATTTCAGAAGTTAAAATTACTGATTTCTAGAATTGCACGGAAGTTTACATTAGGCCACATTAGAAATGCATTTTCACTTATAAAATAAAGTACTGTTTTTCTGGTTTTTTTTGGCTTTTTTGAAATAAAAGCTGTATTTGTCTCCAGTTGTTTTAGTAACTGATGCAGTTTTCCAGTGAAAAAAGTAAATATTTTGCATGGTAAAACAATATGGTTTAATACAAATAGTAAATGCTTTGATTAATTTCGAACAATAAGACTTTTAGTGTTCAGCTGTTGACAAATTTTCTTCATGCAGTTTGTTCAAAATATTTTTTTCAAATGCAAATCCATTTCAGCATATTTATTGATGCAGTATCTTGTATAGTCTGGATGCAACCACGGTGTAGATTTTACTGCTTAAATAGTGTATCTGTTAGTCAGAGGGTCTGCTGATAGAGATTCTTAAGAGCCATAGTCAAATACTTTTAGGAAGGTTGTGAGTGCAGTCCAGTAAACAGGATTCTTCTGTTAAAAGGATTTTTTTAAGTCGTCAGTGCAAAAAGGGGGCAGACTCATGTTTTTAGTTCCATCTTGACCATGCAGCACTTTAAGTAAGGTTAACCAATGCACCAAGTATACTTCTGCAGGATCACTACTGAGTCAGCCCAGGGGCTTCAGTTCATACCAGAAGCAATCTAGATATCTGCACTGTGTTGCCTCAGTTATTTTAACTTCTCACTTGTGTGCCTTTTCTACAGAGTAAAGAAGTGCTAGTGTTTTCTTGTTCCTTATCAGTGTATTACATATTATTTTTATGGGATTCTTCAGTTATTTTTATTGGTATGTTAACCTTATTTCTAAGAACTGTCTTATTATGCATAGTTTCTTTTTGTTTCATTGTCATTCTCTAGTTTGTATGTTCTTAAATCTATGAAAAAACAAGATTTCAAACTGTTTGCGGAAAACTTCATGTGCTACTATCATAGTTGTTAATTAAATATTTGCTAGGCAAATCATCCAGAGTTTTTTGTTCTGTCACAATAATCCTAACATCCTTCTTTCTCCCTCAAATCAATCTGACCACAAAGCAAATATTAAAGGACCTAATTGAAGAAAAAGGGAAAATGAAGCATTTTGCACTGGAGATGGTCAGCATGAATTTCAGCAGTTAGTGAGGTCTTAATTAAGAACAACTTCACCTTAAATGAACATTCCAACCTTTTTTCCCCAGTTTCTTTTTTCTATTGTTAGTGAAGGAAAGCAAATAATTCATAATAGTAGATTTTAAAGTTGAACAGTCACTGTTAGGCAATTTAATTTAATTTCCTGCATTAAAATTTCTCAGATAATTTCATACAGTTATCCAGATACTAAGCTCAGTATGCCATGCATGATTACTACTCTTAGGAGGACAAATGAAGTTAAAAACTTTTCAAAGCATTTGAACACAAAATTAGGCATCTGAAAATTGTTGAGTTTGAAAGTGATAATATTTTTAAAGATTTTTTTCCCAATAGCTGGCATGAATGACATGGTAAATTTCCAGTAGAATACATACAACCATGTTAGGGGTAGAATACTGCAGCATGGTAAGCGTTTGAGCATGTTTAGTTTGTATACCCACTGAGGATGCATTGTCATTTCAGACTGCGGATTCACCAGTTTATCCATGCCAGATGCTTTATGGAAGACTTTCCTGCGTTGTTTGCAGTCACTTATGTTCTAAGCTTTAAAAATAATTATACATAGTATATGTACCATCAAAACAAATAAGCTTTTTATTTATTAAAGGTTGCCTTTATTGAACTGGAGTGTTTATGATGTATTTACTAAGCTTTATATAGAAATTCTTTATCTTAGTATTGGATAAAACTCACTGTAGCTTAAAAGTACTGTGAATAGATTGTCTCACGTTCGTCTCTATATATTTGAGACCAAAGTAGCACTTGAGGAAATCTGCGCTTTTAACCAGATTAAAGCAAGATGCATCATAAAAATATAATGTGGTATATTTAATACCACAAGTAGCATGTATTCAGCTATATAGTTCTAATTTGCTATTTATATTCACTGAGCTCCGGGATATATTTCCATGGAGCATACTCCCTTGCATAACTAATGTGAGTGTGTTAGTTATAAACTGATGGCTGAATAGATCACATTGTGTAAAATAAGGTTGTTTGTTAATAACATAAAATAGTTGAATTAAGAGTATGTTTTTCTTAGCAGCCCAAAATACTGTGTTCTTTTTCTCTCGACTCTCAATTGTTGTGATGTGGAATTTGTTGCAATTTTTTTTTTTTTAAATCTAGGAATAAAATCAGTAGGCAGTTATGATTGTTTGTGAGTGTGTAGAATTGTTATTAACATGTAAGTCATGTGAGTTGCACGTAGATTAGAAGAATTTTCATCAGACCTTACTGTATTAGAGTTCGGTGCTTCCACGTAATCAGTACAGTTTTGAAAACAGTTCTCACCATGCAAAATGAGCCAAATTATACTTTAATATGTTTGTATGCATGTGATGACATACATTGCTGTGTGTATGTTTAGTCTGTGGGTTTCTGAGTTGTTAGCTTGCAGAATATGTATGACTTGTAGGATATTAAATATTCTGTATTTACACTGATTTTTTTTACTTTGTTTATGAAAACCTGTTAACAGTTTCAACATAGCTTGGAGACTGTTTAGAATAGAAAGGAAAATCTATTCTTGGTGTAGGTTCTTCGAAGATGAAATTATGTAAATCATGTCCAATTTAGTTGCCTGCTTTGGGGTGGTGGGTGGAGGAAATAATCATAGTTTGCATCCTCAACTTAGATATGTGTCAGTATTTCCATTTTTTAACCTGTCAACTATATAATTCTTTAACTGTGTAGTACTAAGAGCATCAGTACCATAATGAAGTTACTGTGCAGATTTTCCCTGCTTCTAGATTTGTAAAGAAAATTTGGAGTGGGGGAGGAAGGGACATAGAGTATGAAATAATGTGGTTAAGTTGGCATTAATTGTGTTACCTTTCAGTTCCAAGTACCGTGTTATAGAACTTTCTCTGTAAAGTTTTACATGTTTCTTCAGTGAAGTATGTTATATAATTTCTTGTCAGGAATATTATACTTTATTAAATATGTTAATATCTAGCTATAGTTTTACTGCATCTTAATGACTTAGCTGGGCACAAGTGACATTTTTCCAAATGATACAGTCATCTTTGTGTTGATACTTAGTTACTATTTATTGTATACTTGTAAAAAGCTATTGCTGTTGATATGCTAGAGCTGTATTACCTGCCATGATAATATATCTTTAATTTTATTTGTATCTAAATTTTCAAGGTTATACAATATCTGTATAATTTTCTTTTTCAGGAAATTTGAATGTTACTCTTCAAGTGTGGGATGTAGGGGGGCAAACAATAGGAGGCAAAATGCTGGATAAATATATTTATGGAGCTCAGGTACAGTATAAATGATGATAATTGTATCTATAGTAATTCTATAAAATTCATTGAAATGTTGTTCTTAAAATTATACGTTTGTTACAGGTTGTTGTTTTGTAGGTCTCAAAAATGTTGAATCTCTGCTTAACCTGAACTGAATTGATATTAATACGCAAGTCTAATTTCTGTATGTAGGTAATTTTTTGGAGCTGACTTAAAAAGCAAAGCGAGGGTGTGCATTTGTATTTCTGGATAACTCTCAAGAACAGATGTATGTTTCCATGCTTTGTGTCTTGAGTTAAGAAAAGCAATCATAGTAAATAGTAAAGGCTATTTGGATCTCCACATGGTAGATATAGTGGCTGCTTTTAGAACAGATGCCTCCTGGGGGAAAAAAGTAGAAGGAGGAAATTAAGAGCAAGCCTACACCATTAAACTCATACATGCAACTGGGGTTATAAGAGGGCAAACAAAAGGAGGCAACCAGGTAGCTAAATATTTTTGCAGAACTGTTATCCAATGAAAATTAATTTTATTTTGAGGTTAACTAAGCAACTTAAAGTGAATGGTAGGATTAAGTAAAAGCTAAATATTATAACAGTATCTTGAGTTATGAGATGATTTAGGAGGATGTACTATATGCCAAACTTCTTAACATGAGTGATCTTAAAATGTATTCTGTTCTTTAATTTGGAGTGTGTAATGAGAACGATAGGCATAATGTTTTATTATATAAATGTTATATTTATCTGAAAAGAAAACGAATGCACCATTTTTTCCCCCAATACTTTAAGCAATAGGAATATGGAATCCTAAAACTTTTATTGGACAGAAACTTTGTACTGATAAGTACAGCACAGGAATGGCTAATTAAGGAGATTAGGATTTATTAGTTAAAAGGATAAAGACAAACTTGTCAATTTAACATTTTGTCACTTTCAAAAAATGTCTTAATGTTTTTAGCTGTTCCATCTGTTTTATAGCATTTTCTTATTTTTTAATAAAAAACATTTTGCTGCCCTGTTAAAATCTACCAAGCAACAGGAGAAAGTGGCTTCCATGACAGAGGGGATTTGATTAATCACAAATTGTTGCCATATGCCCAGGGAAATAAAAGGCTATTAACTTCTTCTGTATTGAATTTGGTGATAAACTTAGGAGTTTCTTATCAGCAAAAGCAGGTCAAAAAGTTAATACCAGTGCCCCAAAGTAGTGAAAAAGTTGATACCAGTAAGCCTAAAGTTAAAAATGTTTGATTTTTAGTCTTTCTGAGCACGTTAACAAAAAAACCCTACATCTGATCTCTTCTCCTTTAATCCTCCCCCAACCCTCATTGTAACTCTAATTTTTTTAATGAACTAATGGCTGTTCTCTCTCCCATTGTTGGCATGTATTGCCAATGTCTGTAATAGGCTTCTTATCATCAAAGCTGACTTGTAACACACTTTTTTGTTAGCTTTGTCACAGCACCTGTTAAAGACACATAAAGCTATCTTTATTTTCATCCATTCATGAAACACCATGAATAATTCGGAAAGGCACTGCTTTCAGCTTATTTCTAGGCAGCAGCTTATTTCATGTTGAACATCTGTAGCTTTGTAGAAGAAAAAGCAGAAAGATAAAGTAGAACAAGTAGGAGTATTTAGAAAGAAAAATCCTTTTAAGTACCTATAAAAATTCCTGTAAATGGACAGCAAAGTAGCAAGAAAGTAATTGGGAAGAGCCATCATGGAATTAGCAAGGGTGAATGGTGCCCAGCCAACTTGATGATCGCCTTCTGTGGTTAGTTGATTGGCTCTGTGGAGAGGAGAGCAGTGTATGTCATTTACCTTGACTTCACCAAGGCCTTTGACATAATCTCCCGTAATATTATTACAGACAAAATGTAGAAAAACAGATTGGATGAGTGGACCATAGGGTGACTGAAAAACTGAATGGACAGCTGGACTTAAAGGGAGATGGTCCATAGCTCAGTGTCTTACTGGTGCCTGGTTATAAGTCATATTCCTTAGGGGTTGGTACTGGGGTCATGTCTTTTGTTAATTCTTTGAACAATGGAACAAAACATTGTTTGTAAGTTTGCAAATGACACTAAATTGGGGAGGAATGGTCAGTATGCTGAGGGTGGGGGTGCTATTGAGAGAGACCATGACCAACTGAAGGAATGGACCTTGTAAAGTTCACTGAAGACAAATGCAAAGTCCTCCACCTGGGATGGAATAACCTTATGCAGGCTGGGAGTCAACTGTCGAGGAATCAACTGGAGAGCATCCAGTGAAGAGCCACGAAGCTGATTAATGGACTGGAGCATCTCCCCTATGCGGAAAGGCTGAGAGAGCTGGGACTGTTCAACCTGGAGAAAAGAAGGCTAAGGGGGATCTTATCCATGTATATAAATACCTGAAGGGAGGATGTAAAGAAGACAGAGCCAGGCTGTTTTCAGTGGTGCCCAGTAACAGAGACAATTGGCACAAACTGAAACACAGGAGGTTCCCTCTGAACATCAGAAAAACACTTTTTCACTGTGAGGGTGACCCAGCGCTGGCACAGGTTGCCCAGAGAGGCTGTGGAGTCTCCATCCTCAAGAGATATTCAAAAGCCATCTGGACATGATCCTGGGCAGCTGGCTTTAGGTGACACTGCTTGAACAGGGGCATTGGATTAAATGACCTCTAGAGGTCCCTTCCAACCTCAGTCATTCTGTGAAATGGCTTTGGAGAAAAGAAGGTGAGGGTCCTACTGGAAAAAAAATAGTTGAATGGGAGTCAGCAATGCACCCTTGCAACAATAAAAGCTAACTGAATACTGGGTTGCATTAGTAAGAATAAAGAAGGCAAATCAAGGAAAGTGATTATCATCCTCTCTGACATTTTTGAGGCTACATTTGGAGTACTGTATCCAGTTTTGGGCTCCCCGGTACAAGAAAGCCTTTAAAGTTTAAAGGAGCAATTCTAGCGAAGGTTGCTACAAAAGAAGTATGTGTACCTATGGTGTGTTGCACTTGGTCAGCATGTGTGGTGCAACTGGGATTTTAAACATCTTGTTTGTAAAGTACACAAGCTGTAAACTTAGACATAGAGTAGGCGATTTGGATCTGTTGCAGAAATTGTGTTCATGTGCATGTATTCTCTGAATCTAAATCATTCAGATTTAAAGTACATGTGTAGAATAGCTTGCAGCATGCCTACGGTATGCATCATGCTTTTATCCAGTATTTGCAGATGCCCATAGCCTTGAATAGACTTCATCTGATCGATCATTTTAAGATTCAGAAATCACAAGTGGCTGAATTCTTGATTTTCTGCTCAGAAATCCAAATGTGTTGTAGACCTACTTATAAAATACTAAGACCAGCTGGAGATGGAACTTTTGAGATTCTACAGCAACTGAAAAGGTTATCTTAATAGCAAGTCTACCGTTCACTTGATCTCAGTTGAAATTTGATCAGGATACCAGGGGGAGTAAGTGGAGCATCCATCTATGCTTTGCTGCAAACCTTGCCACTGGAGGTTTCCTTCTCTTTGAATGGGAGCTGAATCAATTCCCTAGGATAGATCTTTTGCTTAAGTTACTGTTAAGGTGCCATTTTTTGACTGAGGTCCCTGGTTTCTTGTGTGATGCTTTAAAATAGAAGTGCCAGATTTGAGGATGGGAACCTATATAATTTGCTTGCGTGGTTGCAGTTGGAGAAATTGCAGTTCACTTGCTGTCTTGAAGCAGTTGCTTTTTTCTCCCTTTTTTTTTTTTTTCTCTGGTGTTGCTCATTCAGAACAATATAGTTGCCACTTGGTTGCCAAATTTCACTGATGGGTCAGAAGAACTCTGCAAGCTTGGGGGAAAAAGAACGCCTTGATCTTTATAAATGAAAGGTGCTAATAAACAGCTTCCTGTGATTAAGACCGACACATTTATCTCAGAATTGAGAGAGGGTAAGAGTAATCATATAGTCGGTTACCACAGCTGAGCTGATCGAGTGACCATATCCTCAGTATCAGCAAAAACAGTGGTTAAGTATATGTAGACTGTAAACCGTTTTCACCTGTAAAAATAGCATTTCTGCAGATGTGCAAGATATCATAATGAAGTTACTCTTTGCTAAAATGAATATTCTGTGACTAGAAAAAAATATTTCAGAATTTTGATCTGACATATTTCATGAATATTAATGAAAATTTGAAAGTTAATTTAGTTCCTTCATACTAAAGTCAGTCATAGGATGAGGGCAGCTGAGGATAAACCTGAAGAAGAAAACATATGGTTTTAGTTAGTGTTTTCTGTAGTTTCTTTTATTGTGACAAATCTTGACATAAACTTGACACCTTTTACGTGTTGATTGTCTAGTGTGAATATATTGCCTGGTTACAATTCTTCCAATTCTGCTGTATAATAGCACTGCTGCTGTTTTCGTGGCGAATATTTCAGAACCGCTCCCATCTCTTACCTGTAATTGCTGCCCCTACCCATGTATCTAGTTTAAACTATCTTTAAGAGCTGGCATATGCTACCTCATAAATTGGCTTGTTAATAGAATAAGAGTACTGCAGACTTTACCTTCTCCAGGGACCAGCAAATAATTTCTGCAATATTCTCAGTTTCCAGTGACCTATTTTTTAAAATACTCTATAATTCCAAAACAAAAAGCACTCACATATGCACTAATGTAGGCAAAATGTCTCTCTTACTAGAGTGCAATTATGCAAGCAGGGACTATTTGCCACGTTACTGGAGACTAGAGAATTAATGTGCTGTTCTCCGCATGTTGTCCTCCATATGTTTCAAACCTTTTCCATGGCAGGAAAATGCACTACTTTTGTGTAAAAAGGCCAGTGTTAATTTTCCACCTTATTTTCTCATGCATAATAGGGAAATAACAGCTTTTATACTATCTACTCATTCTGTACTCCATATACTGTAAGCGTGTGGAAAATACGAAGTATTTTTGTGAAAGCAATGATGGGGTTTCTATGTTAAATAAAAAAAGGTGAAATAAATTTTAGCTGTGGAGTTATGACTAGTCCTTCTTTAATTATCTGTATCATATTAAGTTGCTGATAGGGTGCTGTTGTGGCAAATGTCTAAGCAAGAAATATTCTTTATGACCTGGATGCCATGCTGCTTTTTTTTGCATCTCTAAGATGTTATACTTGCTGTCTTTGTTTCTCAAGTATAGCAAATATTGACAAGATTCAAAAAAAGAATGGTTAAGAAAAGAATATGCTCTAGAGGCAATGTTTTAGATCATGGAGAAGGGGACCAAAAGGAAGTTAGGTGAGCTCTAGTTGCGAACTTTGTTCAATGATTTCTTTCACAGTAAATCCACCGTGAATACTCTTTTCTTCCAAAGGTGTGGGTGGGCTGCGGTTGGCTAGAGGACATGTAGCAGAGTAGCATTTTGATGAAGAATTAGTTAGAAACAGAGCTGACCAACCTTAAATGCTCAGATGCTATTAACTTTATCTTACATCTAACTCTGATTAAACTCTTCAGTGCTGAAAATGGTTTAGATAGCCTGCTCTGCTTTTCTGCAGGCTGGTGAGAGAACTTGAGGACTGGTGAAAGAATTGTGCCATGTGCACTTTCTCATTTACAACTCTCAGCCTTACATCTGTTGTGTTTTTTTTTTTTTTTTTTAACCTTTATAATACCTGTCCTTCAGCTTGAGTTTCTTCTTTTCCACTGAGCATTTAATAACATCAGTATGTCCTTCTTAGAGCAAGGCTTATATTATGAAAGGCAAATACCTACATGCACAGGCATTTGGGTAGTTATAAAAGTAGTCAGGAGAAGTTAACTAAAATGCAAGATATTAAGGAATAAATTGTACAAAAGTTGGAAGAGGGAAGTGGATGTTTAATATTAGATTTGATTAGTAAAGTAAAGAGGAAAGATGGCAAGGGAAAAGATGGGTGTCATAATTCTTAATTTCCTTGAAGGAACTGGTGAAAGCTGTTCCTCAGGAATTCATAGCAGCCATATATATATAAGGAACAAGAACTCGTTTTGCCAAGGAGTAGATGGCATTGAAGGAGAAGAGAGAGATTTGTATTGCTGTCATAGGGAAATAGGAATTGAAGGGTTCTCAACAGGATCTGTTGTCCTCCTCCAAAGCTATACCTGTATGACGTCTATTTCATTTTTATCAGCCTTCAAAAACCCTCCAGTGTTGGTGACTCTGCTATCCCTGAAGGTGGTGTATTTCAGAGCTTCACTATTCTTATTGTCTACATGTTTTTTTTTTCTAGTATGTACCCTTGCTATAATCTTCTTGCTGTAAGTTAAACCTATTGCTACATGTCGTATTGATCACAGACTTGTAAGAAAGTTCAGGGTGGAAGGGATCTCGGAGGTGTCTAGTCAAACCTCCTGCTCAAAGTAGGGTCAGCTGTGAGATGGGACTACGTTGCTCAAGGCTTTATCCAGTTCCTTCTTGTAAACCTCTAAGGGTGGAGACTGAGCAACCTCTTTGGGCAACCTATTCCACTGCTTGATTCTCCTCATGGTGAAAAAGCTTTTCCTTATATCTAGTTTGAATTTCTCTTGTTTTCAACTTATGCCTGTTGTTTTTCATCCTGCTGCTGTGCACTACTGTGAAGAGCCTGGCTCCATCTCCTTCATAGCTTCCTCATGGGTATGGGAAGGCTGCTTTTAGGTTGTCGCAGGACCACCTCCTCTCCATGATGAAGAATTCTAGTTCCCTCAGCTTTTCCTCATAGGACAAGTGCTCCAGCCTCTGATCATCTTGGTGGCCCTCTGCTGAACTTACTCCGGTCTCGAGGGGCCTAAGATTGGATGTATTACTTTAGATATGATCTAACAAGTGCTGAGTAAAACGGAATAGATCCCTTGATCTAGTGCCCATGCTTCTGCTAATACAGTCCAGGATCACATTGACCGTCCTTGATGCCAGGGAACATTGCTGGCTCATATTTGGCTTGCTTGTCTACTAAGACCTGCAGGTTATTTTCAGTTGTTGCCCAGCCAGTCAGTCCCCCCAGTCTGCGTTGTTTATTCCTTCCCAGCTGCAAGGCTTTGCATTTGTCCTTGTTGAAAGTTCAAAGGTTCCCATTCGCTCATTCCTTGAGTGTGTCTACATACCTCTGAATGGTAGCCCTGCTCTCAGGCGTATTGGCTGGTCCTCCCAATTTAGTGTCATCTGCAAACTATGTATAAGAGCATATAAAAAGAGAATTCCTGTTATCTTCTCTTGAAACTTTTACCAGCATCATCATGCCTGCCATCAGTATTGTGTTTGTTGAAACAGTCCAGTTTTTTCAATTTTCTGATGTCAGTCATGGTTTCTAAACCTCTGATATTGTTACTGGTCTCTTCCAGTCTACCCTTTTCTTGACATTCAGTGTCCAAAGCTGGATGCATTATGTCACCTGGAATGTTTCATGCCAGTGTGATATTTGCCTTTTTGCTACAAAATAAGCTTGACATATTCAACTGTGATCTACTGTAACTCCTTGATCCTATTGTATAGAACCTGCTACAAAGCCAGATGTTTCCTATTGTGCAGTTGATTATTGCTTCCTTTGAACTTGTCATGGTACTTATTGAATTGCATCCTATTATTTTTAGATTGTTTCTCATCATATGATCTAAATTCTCCTCAAATAATCTTGCAGTCTCCACCAGTTTGTTGTCATCTGTGAAATTAATTTAACAAGCGTGCACTCTAGTTTGTGATCTAAGACACTCCTCATGAAACTGTTAAGTAAAGCTGGGCCCAGACAAATGCCTGAAAAACTTCACTTGAAAAATCTTTTCTATTGACAGTGGGTCATTGAACCAGCTGATTTTGTATGCATTGTATTGTTTTTTTGGAATATCTGTGAAAATTTTATGTGAGGACCAGTGTGCAGTTGCAGGGATTTTTTTTCCAGATATGAACTCCATGAGAACAAGTGCAACAGAAGCCAATTCTGACTTTTTTCCTCATTTACAAGATACTTAATTTATTAGGGTGTAGTGGAAAGCAGGGACAGAAGACTCAATAATTGAGAGGAGAGTGATTTACGAGAGCTGATCTTAGAATTATGGAGGGGAGAAGGTGGACATGTGGGCTGTTAATAGGCTGTGCTTTATAATGTTGGATATTAGCTCTGAGGAATCCTCAGTAATGTCTGGTTTGAGTATTTGTTACTTGTAGCCTGGCCCAAAACCTCTGAAATACATGGGACTCCCTTCTTTTTGACTTCTGACCACATTTTGAGTTTCTCCTTTGAAAGTTTAAGGCTTGCCAGTACTTCTTGCTTGTCTTTTACAACAGTGAAGGAAGGGCCTTTCTCTCCAAAGGAGAGCAGAGACGTGACAGCCAGGCAACGTGCAGAAACATACAATTGAACTGCTTTTATTTTTCTTTTTTTTTCCAAAAAAGGAACAGTAAAACTGCAAATAATATTAGCTAAAATGAAAGTCCTTCTCCAGTGTGATTTTTATCTTACTATTAGTGTGAAGTGCTTTTTGAGTTTTTCATAAAGCATATGCAATTTGGAATATTTCTAGTCTAGCTAATTGTGTTCTTCACTGAATTGCCATTTTTTCTGCCCTTGTAGTTCAGTTAGCATCTGAATTTAGAACACATGGAATGCAGAAGAAATATTGTAATAAAATATGTTTATTACAGAAGCTTATAATTCCTTTAATTATTCCTCAAAATATACAATGCCATTATTTGTTAATGCTCTGTTTTATGATAATAATAATTTAGACTGATGCAAATTTTACCATGTTAAAACATTTTTGCAACCTGTAACATTTAAAATACATCTTTTTATTTAGGGTATTCTCTTGGTTTATGATATTACCAACAGCCAGAGCTTTGAAAATTTAGAAGACTGGTATAATGTGGTAAAAAAAGTGAATGAAGAATCAGAAACTCAGCCACTTATGGCCTTGGTTGGAAATAAAAGTAAGTTATTCATACTTAAATATTAATTTAAATACTCTGGGTGTTGCTCTCTATTGAAGAAATGGCACAGGGCATATATCTTTAGTAAAATGAAATTAAATACTGTCTTGTGTGTTGTTGCTGTGTACAGATGACATATCTGGGTGTACCTCAGGATTCTGGTTCTGGGCAGTTAGGTTGAGTGACTTGCTCCATCATGCTTTGCCTAGCCTGCAGCCTCTCTGCCTGTGTTTTCTTTACCTGGAGAGCAGCACACAGGAGTAGAGGTCTCTCTCTCAGCCGTGTTTGAATTGGGTAGAGCTTCAGGATATAGCCATGGCACGTATCTAGAACGGAGAACTGGGAAGCATTCCTGGATTTAATAACAGGTATATTTCATGGTTCTGTATGTTAAGAGACTGCTACATTAAGTACTGGTATATATTATTCAAAGTAACTACACTATGCACTGGGCATAATATTTATGAATTGCTTATTAGGCTTTTTTGCATGCTATCTATAGTTTGGCACATGAGGTTACTTATTTCCTGTTGTTCTGGGATTTTTTTAACCTGTCCTCTTTTTAATCACGTAAGTATGATATAATGGTTTTCTTCTGAGCACCAAAATATGCCACTTTAAATAACCATCGCCTAGTTAGTCTCCTAATTAGATGGATTCGAGATTCCTGCATTTCCAGCTAAGAAATCTTGCAGAAACATCCTTATTAACATATCTGAGGTCTTGATCCTGGCTCTTTTACCCTTTTTCTATTGAAGATGATAAAAGCAACATAAAGCAATTTTAGAAACAAAGTGTTGGAAACATGCAGAATTTTTTAACAATGTAAGTATATTTTTTTGAACAACAAAAACCAGGGTTTTTTTTGACTTTCCAAGTAATTTGTGTCCATGTCACAATGTCCATATCATGAACAAACCTGAAAAAAAGACCTCATCCAGCAAGTTAATATTGTTTAAAAGTATTTGAAAACAATGTAGAGACAGCACTCTCATTCAGAACCATTAACTGTAGTGTTGTTACTGTGATGCTGTAACATTTTATGATATTAATTATGAAAGACTACTTATTTTCTGGGAAGAAAACAGAGAAGCTCTTAGAGTTACAATATATAAATAGCACTTCTGAAAGTATAACATAGACAGTGTTGTACTCTAGCAGACCCGAGTCAACAATACAGATTCTGTTGAAATTCAAATGAAATATATTTTTCACTGATTTATATTTTGCCCCAAAATTGGACTTCCTAGCTAGAGTTCTGCAAATCTTACAAAGTATTTACAGTAAGATACACTGTAACGTAGGATAAATAATGTTCTTTTGCTAAAATGACACCATAGAGGTAGAAAATCAGACACTGGTTTCCATTTGAAGGAGTTTTATTTCTGTTATATACCTTAAGTATATATATTTTTCTCATATACATGCCTGCAATTCTTTAAAATTCAAATATTCCCTTGGGAGCATCTGTAAATAGAATATGGTTTCATAGGTGAGTTTCCAGATAAAGGCTGACACTGACTGGTGAAAGGGCTTTCATTTTATGAAAATAGCAGCTGAAGGAACAGTGTGCTTGCTGCCTTGTTTACCTTCAGAAGTTGTGTGTAAAGAAAAAAAGCAAACTCTTGCTTTCACGCAATCCTAAGGATGTTGTATGCGTATGACATGCATATGTCGAGCATGCAGGGGATGCTGCTTACAGAGGTCATTTTTTTTTCTTTATTTTTATTTCAGCATTATAAAAATTAAGCTTTTAGAAGTGTATTGCTTTTCTGAATTCTATAATAGGAGAAGAATATCTAGGAGGGCTTCCACCCCAAAACTTCAGTGGCCTGTGAGAGGTAACTGTAGCCAGGCTCCTATTGTTACCTAAATAGAAAACAAGGTAAGTGTTTGTACAGAAGCATGGTGTTGACTCTTGCATATTATGACAGGATAAAGCTACCAGTCCTAACAAGTTCTTCAGGTCTAATCACTGTGTTCAGAATAGCTCAAACTTCTTAACTCAGCAAGTGATAAGACACTCATACACAATGCAAGAGTGAAAATAAGTTTAAAGCCAAGAAAAGCCATTTGATGAATTGATGAACTTCTTTGACCTCATGCATCATACAGGAGAAATACTTCCAGTCAGTAGTTTCTGTCCCAGGATTGTAGTTGGTTTTTGAGCTATACACATCTTTTAGGAAAATATCCAGGTATGCTCACTTAAAGACTAGAAAAGTCTATATCCACAGGCAAGTTATTCTAACACTTAACTTTCTTTCTGGTAGAAGTTTTAAAAAATTGCCAAGAATGCAGTTATTTTCATTCATAGCAACTGGAAAGAATTGGGCCAATATTTAGATACCTAGATAAGAATTTGGAAGCCCAACGGAAACCTTCCATTTTGAAACCTTGGTTTAAATTTAGTGCTGCTCTTTTAAGTATACTTAGCTTGGGCTTAGGCTCTCGTTTGATCATTTTCACTTACTAATACTGTCTGAAAGAAATGCATATTTTTCCATTTTGCAGTAAATACACCTAGGATCTCTGTTGTAGTGCTTCAGAAATAGGAATAAAGCCATAGTTTTTAAAAAAAAAAAGCTTGGAAGAAAACAATGACAAATATTTTTCTTCACAATGAAATATAGAAAACTGTATACATGAATTCTATTAGAAGAAAATAATTTCCTTGGGTAATTTTGTCATTGAAAGCAAATTACATCAGATATAGCAGTATATGGTGCATAATTGTATACGAGCTGTTAAATTGTCTATAAAACTGCGTTATTTATTAGTGTTTTGTTGTGTCAATTTGTAGTCATTCAGTTAAATGTGTTAAGCTTGCAGGAATTTCTTCAGTATTCCACCAGTTGTAATTTCTCCATACAAAGCTCCAATCAGTCCCCAGTCTCTCATCCATCAGAAATTAATTTAAAAATAATAGATTAGTATGAATTGAGATCTCCTAAATTCTGGACCTCCCCACCCCTCTTTTTTATTTTTCTTTTTTTTCCCCTCTTTTTTTCTTTTTTTCTCCAGGACTAGCTAAAATGAAGGACTGTCATTGCCCACTAATTTATTAAAAATAATTGGGAGAACAAGAGCTTCAGAGATACAGTCTTCCTTTGTGAAAGTGGTGATTTATTTAAGGTGACTCTTCCTCCTGGGTGCTTAGTTTTATTTTTCATTTTTTCTTCCTTCCCATACATTTTTTTCCATAGCCTGACCTACACATTCCGTCAGAGAGGGTAGAAGACTGATTTGAATCAAGATCTTGCCCAGACCTGCTTCCTACACTTATGTCTGATTATTGGTTAATTCTCTGTCTTTCCATAGATTTTTTGTCTGTACATTTGGTAAACAACAAAAAGAATTGTAAAATTTAATGTAGAATTTTTCTTTTTCATATTAATTGTAAGTCATAAGATCTTAATAGTCCTAAAATTTACAGTTGGCTTTGAATCTTAAATTTGACTTTCCATGTAACTTACTTTGCGGTATTTTAGTCTGATTTAATACAAAGTATATTTGAAGTGTGTTTCTTTCTGTGTTGCTAATACCACTTCATTTGCACCAGAAATAAGAGATTAAACTTTATCATTAGATTAACAAATGCTTTTGAGTCTCAATGCAACAACTTATAACTTTTGTAGATATGTTGCTGTCAAATACTTTGACTTACATTGTAGAGTATAAATTGAACTACAGTTATCAAGTGAATGAATTGTGTTTTGTGCACTTAGGATCTTTGCTTAAATTTGGTATTGACAAAGTTCAGTAACCGCAATGGATCTTCTGGTCGTTTAGTGTGAATTAGAGAGATTTTACTGTGTTTTGTGTAACTGATGTGTTTCTTTCCTTTCTACCTTGACTACTTTATGTATTTTCCTCTGCAGTAATCTATAAGCAGACCCCTCAAGTGTTCTACCAACATTTTCAGTTTTGTAAACAAAAATTAACCCAGGTTGCATGGGAGCTACACTCATTTTGATTTATAGCTACCAAGATTGTCTTAGGGTGGTGGTTATCTGTAGCTTATATAGGGGGTAGGAATTATCAGGTACCAGTGTATAGTGGATGGATGAATGATTTCTATTCTTAGAGATATTAACCAGATCCACTCCTCAATAAAGACTAATAACTCAGATTTTTAAACAGTCTTCATGACAGATGAGGGCACAGAGGAGAATGCATCAACACTAATTAAGAATGTTGACCATTTGTTCGTCTTAGCCATGATTGATTGATCTTGGAGTGCTATCTCTGAACAGGAAGTGGTATGCTGTTACATTGTGAAGTTTAAAGGTTACATTTTAGTGTACCCTTTAACTTGCATTTACATACAGCATAAAGTGTTTTTACCTATCTTATCTGAGTGCAGAGAGAAACATTTTTCAGCCCAGATACAAACGAATGCTTGGTGTACTGCGTACTAATGTGAATCTGGCTGGTAACAGCTCATACCCAGTCTGCTTTTGGACTCTGTTGCTGCCTTATATGCTTAGTCTCTCCAGTTGTACTCAGAAAATTTCTTCATTAATACTCATTTTGAGATTCTGGCTTATTAAAATTCAGAACAATACATTCATTCTCTTGTCCTTCCCAACCTTCCCCAGCTGTTTTCTGTTCTTGTTTCCCGTGGACTTGCACTTGTTAGGTCCTTCACCTGTAATTAAGACAAGTGTTGAGCAGCGAATGCAAAGACCCCTGTTCTTTTGAGTCTTATGCCTGATTAAACTGAAGTTCCTGTATGCCTGACAGCAGGTCCAGTCACCTGAGCCTCACACACGCTCCTGGGATTGGAGGGTAAACTACTTACATGTAGAGACTCCCTTAAAAAGAAAACCTTGTCCTGTGCTACAGTCAATTTACCAACTCATTTGAATAAATGTAGAATGCTACCCTGTTTTAAAATATGTATAGAATGTTTGTCTCAACAAACCCGTAAGATTAATAGAAAATTGTGGTCTTATGGATTTGTTTGTTTCAATGGTTGGGTAACTTTTTTTTTTAAT